CCCCCCCCGGCTTCGGTCCCTCTTCGCTTCATGCCTCCCGGGCGGAAGGACACACTGGTCTTCCACCGATCGGCTTGGAAGTCGTACTCCACGATCTTCAGGGCAAGAAGACTTGAAATGTTCATTGATTCTGAGTTCTGATCATGCTTCATCTCTACTCATCTCTACACTTAGCGTCTTTATGTTCTTTTTCAAAGCAATCTCTACCCATTCTTTTCAAAGCGTCCGGTTTGGTGGACCTTCTCGGGGTGCAAAGAAGCAGCGCTGCTCTTAGACCTCCAGCTACGGGAGCGCGAGCGCATCGCACCACCGCTGGCCATGGAGATGAGCAAGCCCAACCTGCACATGTCCAAATGAAGGAAACAAAGGAAAGGGAAAACCAAAAAGGCCTAAAGAAAAAGGAAAGAAACCGGAAACCGAAATGTAGTGACGTTACGTGGCCTTTAAAGAAAGAATGTTGACCCTTCAGAATCTTTGCTATTCTGACCACTTTGCACAAGGGGCCTGAAGAACACTTCCATGTGGTTCACCTGGCGCACATCTCACCGTCCTCACCGTCCTCACCCAAACGCAGCGTTTTTCAGCACAGTTGTGACATCGAAGTGTTCACAGGGCACTTTGTGCTTTGTGCTTCCACCTCGTGGCGCTGGGTGACCATCAAGGCGAAGACCCAGAGAAGACCACTGGTTGCCACATCCTCGGCTAAAAGGCCACTGCAAGTTCTTTGAGACCTACTAGCTTCTTGTTACTAGTATGGCCAGGAGCCCCTAGTAGCGTCCTTGCTACTCGTAGCGATGCCCTTCGCTACTACTAGCTTCTTGTTACTAGTAGGAATGGCCTCCAACCTACTTGCGATGGGCTCTACCTAATAGCGTCCTTGCTACTATGGGCAAGAAGGAAAGGACTAGTTTTTCAGGGTTTGTCCTTGGTTTACTGGTAGAGGCCTCTTGTGCGAAGCAAGAGATCCAAACGTCCACGTTTATTCCCTTTTTTCAATTTCTCAGCTTCCGCCATGACACCAGGCTGTTCAATGGCCTTGCTGCCAATACCAGAAGAAGCAGACGCAAAAGCGGAAGAAGCAAACAAGCAGCGACAACCAAAAAGCTGAAGAGAAGCCTGCGTGCGGCCCAAGTGTCATGAGGGAAAAGCGTATACGGCTCCTTGGCTCAACGGAGCAAATGCTTTTCCGATGTTGAGCAAGAGCAAACGTGGGTGACGCGATTGAAGGTATCGGAACAGGGCTTGATTTTTGTAAAGCCCGCTCCCGCTCCTCCCTACTTGATTCAGTAGGCGCCTACTTAATTAAGTAAGGGAGAGGTAGCTAGTAGTAGCTAGGTAGCTAGTAGTAGCTAGGTAGCTACTAGCATGGACGCAGGATAGCTCGCACTGATGATTTGCTTCCCAGATTTTTAGGGCTACTTAAGGTTGGAGGCCATCGCTAGTAGGTTGGAGGCCTTTGCTTGTAGGTAGGTGGGCAGAGCAGCCTCTTAAAAATGTACAGTGGACATCAAGACTTGCTTTGAGATTCTGCAAACGAGGCTCAGATTTGGCTGCAGCGCTAGGGCAGGATGCTCCTCAACACCTTGGCAAAGAGGCTATTCTGGCAACTTGTCAAATAAGCTATTCTGGCCAGCTTAGTTCGGGTCATCAAACGGCAAAAAGGCCCAAAGTCAGCCCTGAAGGCAAGGGACATGCCCAGACTCGCAGCAAGACTTCCGCGGTGAAAAGTGTTGCAGTGAGAACCTGACAAAGATCGGCCCTCCATTCCCGTTCGTGTCAGAAGCGCTAGTGAAATGAAGGGCATCAGACGCGCCGGAATTGAATACACAATTCAGCTTTCCACTGGGCCCTCCGACCAAGACCAAGATCCTCAATTCCCAGAAGTCATAATCCAGATTCCAATGGAGGACCATTAGCAAGATCAAGACCTTGAAACTGCACCGACTTCCAGGACTCAGAGAGAAACACTTCCTTGAAGAAGCGCTCGCACTGATTTGGTTTCTAGATTATTCATAGGGAAACTTAAGTAGGAGCCTACTTACTTACGTAAGGGCGACTGGAGTTAGCTTCTAGTAACTGGACACGGTATAGCTCAAGCTAAGAATTTGGTTCCTAGATGTTTCTGGAAACTTTAATAGGGCTTCGAAGCTGATCTCGACCACTTCGATGGTTTTGTGTCCAGCCTGCAGCAAATTCACACCGATCAGCACTGGCAGCAGCCTCAGCCACTTCCCAGAAGCAGCTGCACATATGCATCTAGGTGTTGAAAACATTCCAAGCAAAATGCAAACGACAAAGCCACCAAGCGTCTATTTTTGGAATGCCGGGAGACCACAAGTGAGCATCGGCCAATCGGCAGAAACGAAGAGAGTAAAATCTAAGAAGCTCTTCTTCACCTGGAAACTTGACATTGAACTGAAACTGCACATAACTACCCCCCTTTCTTTAAGACCGGGGGGTAGGCTGCGGATAGAAATAGAAGAGGTAGCTATAGTCTATAGTAGCTATATATTGAGTAGGATGCTACTAGGTAGGACGCGGAATAGCTCACGCGCGCACTAATGATCTGGTTCCTAGATTTTTAGGCAACTGAGGAGTCAAGTCTTGATGTCCATACATTGTTAAAAGGCCTCCACCCTGAAAGCGGCTGCCTCCAACCTAAAAGCGATGGCCTCCAACCTAATAGCCATGGCCTCCAACCTAATGCGGAACCATCGCAGCAAGCTCGTCAAAGTCCCACCTGGGTGTAGAAAGTCATAGACCATCCTCCGTGTTGAGCGATGATAGCGGGAGGGGTCCCAGCTGATCTCCCCAGACTCCTCACAACAAAACGGGAAGGATCTCCACAGTGCAGATGAAATTGTGGAAAAAGATCTCAAAGAAATGACTTTTGTTCCTTTTGTGTATGTTCTTTCTTTAGAACTTCAGACCTTTCTGATTTCTTCCTTTCATGCTCCTTTTTCTCGCTGTTGTTCTTTCTGTCATGTTCATTCATTAGGCATTGAGAAGGTCTCATGACACAACAATCTGTGTCCTGGGTAGAAAGAGGCCGACGTAAATCATCAGTCCCGGCAGACAGTAGCGACATTGACGTTGACATGGCGTTAGATTGATGGTGCGCGCTTGATCGATCTACTCTCTTCAAACTGACCCTTGCGGTTTCACAGTGTTCCCACCATTCGGAGCAAGATCCGCCAGCTTTCTTCTGCATCTTTCGAGTTTCACTTTGACTGGCATTGGATGGTTTTTGTCCACTGTGCATCATAACTCCGAAGATTTTGCCAAACGGCTGCCATCAAGCTCCCTCAGGCACGGCAGGGACTGAACTCTGAGAGATTAGACCAAAAACACTTCAAATGTCCCTTTTTGGAGCTGTTCATTCTCTCGCAGTGTCAGCGCTTCAGCTGAGCTTGTGGTTCCAACCTCTCGGAAGCCCCAAGGCCGTCGAAGAATTGTGTCGAAGACCTCAAATCTCAGCGGCCTTTAAGCATGTGTCCGTCGAAGAGGTTCCGTCGAATTTGTTTCTACAAAGCCTAAGGCCTCTAAGAATAGAGAGGCAAAACAAAAGCTGCTACTCTTCAGTCAAATCCAAATACTATTTATCGAAGTCCGTGTCTTCCTGTCTGAGCAGCATGCGTTGATGGGACGCCCGCAGCCTGGTACCATCCGACATCGCCACAAAAGTTGCGGGCGCTCTTTCTAGTAGTCCGAGTTAGACGTAGCAAACATGCAGGGGTGCATCGACTTCTAAAGAGCCTCTATGGCAGAAGTAGCAAATTACATCAAATTACCAATTACAAGAAAAGATAAGAAAGGAAAGGTGTAAATTTAAAGATAAACAAAGCAAAACAATGCAAAACAAGTGATAAAAGGAAAGCGGGTTTTTGGGAAAAGATTATAACATAGAACAGGGTTCAGGTCTTTGTGTTTGGAGCCGCAGTGCGCACCTTCTTCACAGCGTGAGCGCTTCGTTGAAAGCACCTCGCGCTCGTGTCAACCCCCGGCACTTGAGAAAGGTATCGGAGCACGGTACCACCTTGGGCTCCGGACAGAGTCCTTGTCAACCTCCATCTCACATGGCGAAAGAAACACAGAAGTGGAGGAAAGAAGAGGGAGGTAGAGAGGGAGAGAGAGGGAGAGAGAGAGAGAGAGAGACGAAGAACGTGTTGAGTCCACTTTTAGCCGCTTACTTGCAGAGTCCATTCCCTGTGAGCCCAGTGGCGAGGGGAAGTACAATGGTGACCTCCAAGACGTAAAAGGTCTTCCTCATACCATTCTCACTACTTCCCCAAATTGTTCTTCATCGTCTTTTTGCTACAAGGCTCGTGGCATCGCTACTAGGAGCAAGGACGCTACTAGGGGCTCCTGGCCTTCCTACTAGGAGCAAGGACGCTACTAGGGGCTTCAAGAATGGTAAATGATGGCTTTCAGACTTTCAGGTATTGGAGCCGCAAATGGTAGCTGATCAAGATCCTGCTGTCGGTACAGCTGCTTTTTGTCGTTGTTCTCTCAGTTCTGATACCCAAGCTTAAGCAAATAGGCTGCAACTCATGCCATTGCAAATTGCAAGACGCCAAGCCTAGAGGAGTGTTGCATTCATGACTTGCTGTCTTGCTGCCTTGAATGTGGTTCTTCATGTCTCGTGGCGCAATCGCTCAACATGCCGAAGTCGCGCACTGCCTACTGTCTCAGCTCACACTTTGGGAGCTGCTAAAATATCGGAAACAAAGTCATGAAACCTCTTTCAAACTGCTTGTTCTGTCCCTAGTGCTTGCTCAAGGGACTAGTGGGATCAAGCATCTGCATGGCTCCAATCCAAACATCCGCGACAAGCTGTCGAGCTGACTTCTCGGAAGCAAGCCCTGCAGATTGTCCGGCCCATGCCATCATACCATCAAGCTTCTCCGTCTTTGCCGCTTGAGTTCTCATCGGTGTGGTGAGTCCACGTTGCACAGGGTAAGGAGCAGGCTCTGGCGCCTCTTCTTGCTGACAAGCCAGCACGTACGCAGTTTTCATACTTCGGCCTGACAACAGGGCGAACATCAGGGATTGCGTATCCTCACTATGGTTGACATTGATGAACATGTTGAAAGCCCTTATGCAGCTTGTGCATCTGTGTGTGTGCGCGTGTCCCAACAAAGAGCTCCCCACAATCCCTCGTCCAGAACTCCCAACCTAGTCGTCCTGAAAAGGCGCGAGTGGCCGCTGTATCTTCAGGTCGGCTTTGTCCCAAAGCATCAGCCCAAACTCGCGATATACCAGCCTTTCGTTTGTCGCTCAAACTCCAAACGCAGTGACCGGTAACGTGCGATGCTGCAGAACATCGCAAGCGTCGGCATGCTCAGACACACAATCACACACGCAAAACACACCACCGTGCAAGTCAAAATTGTCCAATTTTCTTCAAAAAAGAAAGAAAAACTCCGGACAATTCGGCGCCTCCGGACAACGCAAGAGGCCTGTTCCAATCTGCACTGCTGACGCACCCAACACGAAGGCAGCAGCCGCTTGCCGAGCATCTGCGATGCCACCCGTCGCGATCACCGGGACCTTCACGGCATCGACAATCTGCGGCAACAGAGCGAACAAGCCGATCCTGGAGGGTCAAAGGTCTGGACGCAGGATAGCTCACACTTCTTCAAGCAAGGGCTCGCACTATTCATTTCGTTCCTACATTGTAAGGGAAACTTAATGAAACTTAACAAGTGCACCTCGAAGGTCGAAAAAGGTTTGAATTGTTGTATAAGAAGCTACTAGGAACAAGTGCATCGCTACTAGTAACAAGTGCCTTACTAGTAGTAACAATGTTTGCTAGTAGAAACAATAATTTAATTAGATTAGAATGATGCTTTTTTTCTAGGAGCAAGGACGCTACTAGGGGCTCCTGGCCGTAGGGGGGGAGGGTATAGGCCCTGCTATAGAGGTAGCTAGTAGCTACTAGTACGCTACTAACTGCTGGACGCAGGATAGCTCACACTTCTTCCAAGCACTATTCATTTCGCTCCTACACTGTTCAGGGAACCTGAAAAAGTGCACCTTGAAACTTGTCCCAAGTCCCAGGTGCTTTAAAAGGCAGAGCCAAGTCTCAAATCGTTCGCTGTTTCTGGACGAAAGGCACCCCGGTGTCCACCTGCTTCCATCCCTTGGGCGACAATGGCATCAGCTCCAGCAGCCTCTGCTTCAATGGCCTCCGAGACCGTGGTTGCAACGGCAAACCACTTGATCTTCTGCTCCTGCCCATCTCGGGCTTCCCAGAAGCTCTAGACCGGAGATTGATATTTGCGGCCACAACATGCTTCATTGGCTCAAAAGAGAAGCCATTGTAACATGGCTTCTACTTGTGTGCACATGTGCATGACAGCCATATAACTTCAAGCTACCAATCAGTTCTCGCTTATTCGTCGTTGACCCTCAAAACGTGATCACTGGTTGGGTCGGTTGCTCAAGAAGCACTGTTGAAAGGAAACAAAAAAAGACGTGATCCCAATCAATGACCAACTGGAAAGCCGGTGACGATACTCCCTGGGTTCTTGGACTTTTGACGACATTCAGAAGCCGATGTTTGTGATGATTTCCTGCGTCTTCCTGCGTCCTTCATTTTTCTCACCACTTCTTGAGGATAGAGACCCATAATCGAAGAGATCACTGTGGGCTTGGCCTCAATCATGGCTGCCACCTGTGCCTCGAAATCCACCACCTTCGCCTTGGGCGTCGCCAATCGAATCCAACAGCAGATGGAAGTAAGTAGCCGAAAAGAGTCTTGCCAAAAATCCACAAGTGAGATTCAGTGAGATGATAGAGTATATATATATATATTGTAGTCTTCTGTTTCATTGTGTGTCGCCAGGTTTCGCCAAGGTCAACAGGAGACCTTCAGAAAAGAAACATCTATTCAAAATGGTGGTGCAAAGTTTTCCCCAGCTTCCTGAAGGCTTGCGACACTCGGAACAACTGCAGCCCTGTGGCATCCCCGGCAGCTTCCGGTACCTCTGGGCCAAAGCGTTGCAGAAAATCTCGCATCTTCCGTTCCTTCTGCGGGTCACGCAGCGCAGGTGGATCCGGGATCCAAGTGTTTAATTGCAAGGGAGCAGTTGGACCGCTCTGTGCGCGGAAGGAGCTGCTCCACTCAGCAATGACCGAAGGAGACATACCGAGGACACCACAAGCAGCCATCCCACCTCACGCAAACTAAGAACTCCTTCGAACAAGTTTCAAATCCCCTCTCCAAACACCTCCACGCATGTCCACCTCCATCAGTGACAGCTGCAGCCAACGCTACTGGTGATGCACCAGCCATGGGTGCCATAAGCACCTCAAGGAGAAAATGAAAAATGCTGGCTAAGAGCTCTTCACAAAAGGTCTTAAATCCATTGAAACTCACAGGTTGCAGCCTGTGAAAATGCAAAATTCACCGACGACACAACAAAAGAGAAAGGGCAACGATATTGACCTCAGTGAAAAGCCAGGCCGCTGGACATCTTAAAGCAAACTGATCACAGAAAGCTTTAGCTTTGGCAAGGCTGCTCATGGCTCAATCGCGTTCGATAACCTCTTGACAAACAGGTTGGAAGAGCCAAATAACTATTGAAAGACATTGCTCTCAGCACGGCCTCCACCCTAGAAGCGATGGCCTCCGCCCTAGAAGTGATGGCCTCCAACCTAATAGCGATCCAACCTAGAAGCGATAGTCTGACAAAACACAGGCACGTGCCGCACGTGAATTCGTGGGAAGAGTTGCAACCTCCGGGCGCACACGAAGAGTTGACCCTCCTCGGAGGTGTAAGTGTGAATCAACGGCACCTGCGTCAAAAACAAATCCGAGGCCTAGGCCAAGAACGAAAGGAATAAAGAATTGAAATATATAAAAAGATCTAAAGGTCTAAAGAAGTCGTTCAAAAAAGGAAAGCAAATACATACTTGTAATATATATTTGCTGTACAAGTATATATGTGAATGAATAAGACATAAAGAACAAGTAGAGTAAGGTGTTGTAGTAAAGAAAGCAAACTTTGGACTCAGTGATGCTCAAGGCCTCATTCTCCAGCTGACGATCCAAGGAGAAAAACAGCAGTCCTATTTTAACATGTGAATCGTTCTATGCTAGAAGAAGACATAGAGAAAAATATATATACATGCTAAAAATACAGCTGTCAAGATAGACATGTTAAACATGTATAGTATATACACTTCTCTTCCAATTTATGTTGTGCATCTTTCTATGGAAGATGTTCCATATTCTTGCTGGGCCTCGTCCAAAGTACGTCGCTTCTTTGGCGGCCGCTCCTTCAAAAAATCCGGGACCAGAAAGTTCTTAGCTTCAATCCAAATGGTGATGGCCTCCCCCTAAGAGCGATGGCCTCCAACCTAATAGTGATGGCCTCCAAATGGTGCATACACCACGATTCACTTAAGGAACTATTACTCTGATATCGCTCTCTCTCTCTCTCTCTCTCTCTCGTAGCGTGCCAGCCTTCATGCCGAGCTTGTTCTAAAAGGCTTTAGCATGTTTTAGCACTTGTGTCTCTGGATGCTCTGTACCAACCCCAGCGCCAAAGCAGTCGTCCCTCATCCACGTCCGATCCGCGTCTCGCACCCGAAATCGCCCCTCCACTCAACTCTCCTCGCCCTCTGCTTGTCGCAGTGCTTCCTCCACGTCGCTCGAGGCCGGTCAATGCCCCATATCATATCACTAAAATATGCTTCCAATATACTTTGATACCAAACATAAAGCAAACCAGTCTCTGTAGGTTGGAGGCCATCGCTAGTAGGTTGGAGGCCAATACAATAAAGCAAGCATATTCCAATCAATTCAAACATCTGCGCGCTATGAGAGTTCAAGAGGGGCTCGCCTTTTTGCAACTGCACAAGCAGACTGAGTCCAAGACCAAACGCCGCTGTGAGCACCACTTTTCACCGCTTCGGGCGCTTCGCCAACATCTTCGCCAACATGTCGTTAGGTTGGAGCTCATCGCTATTGTATTTAACTTAATTCTAATTCTAATTGAATTCTATATAGCTTCTTGTTTCTAATAGCAAACATTGTTACTAGTAGTAAGGCACCTGTTACTACTAGCGATGCACTTGTTACTAGTAGCGTCCTTAAACTTCCCCAAGATTCCAATAGTATGTGCGCTCTGCGCTCTCCTCGAGTCAAGAAGCGAAATACCCTGCGCCGCCTGTCTATCATTATGCAAGTATGCAATTGTCTCAACAGATCCAATCTGTGCATGGCATACATGGATGTATACAATTATTGAAATATATGGAAAACGTGCAGGGATAACAACAGATTGTACTCTATGCGAACTGCCCATTCAAAATGATGGATTGGCGAAGTACCAATATGCACAGCTGGCCAGGAAAGGCGCAACGCCACACCGGGTTGGACAAGGAGCTCGGCGGGTGAAATCATGTTTTGAGCTGTGGCTTGTAGAATAGCTCTTTTTGCAGATTTGTGACTGCACTAGCTGGATGTTAACAATAGTGTTGGCAGTATCTTAGTTCCCCGGTCTGTAATCATGCCTCACATTCAGGAAGCCAGAAGCAGAGCTCCAAGCAGTCTTTCCACGGTATTGGCATAGCTTGGATCTGCTCACACCCATGATAGACATAGTTGGCTTATCAATTGTAGAACTGTACATCAGTGGAAACACAACCACTGACAGTCAGTTTACAGCTTCAACAGGGGAAGGACTTCGGACTTCAAAGGTGCAAGGTGCCAAGGCTTCACCTTCCACAGCTCGCTTCTTGCGGGCTCTGTCGGACCGCGCTCACGGCTGACCGATCTTTCTTTTGAAGGCGAGGCTGCGTGAGGCCGTTCTTTCTTAAGAACGCCACAGTAGAACGCCTTCCTAGGACCTTCTGACCTCCGTCCTTGCTTTCTTTCGTTCGTTCTGCAAAAGGGTTTTTCAAGATCAGAAGCCATCTGTTGCTGCAAGAAGGGTAGCTCGGTCCATTCCCTAGGCCCTAGTAGTTGTCCTGGTGATGGTAGCTCTAGTGCTAGTCGTCGGAGATGTAGCATTCATGGTGTTGTACCAATAAGTATAAGGGGTAGATCGTCCATGCTCCAAGTCTCGTGCCATGGGGCTCCAAGCAGAGGCAATTCTCTCGTGGCTGTGCTGCAAAAAAGTGATATGGCTTGCAGTGTCTGCAGTGTCCGAGGGTCAGCCATAAGCTCTTAGAAACATCTTCTAATGCTATCCAGGACATATGAGTTTGGCACTGTCCTGCATAAGCAACTGCTCTATCGGCAGGGGCTGAGGCGAAACCCGAACATTCGTTTTCGCCCAGCACTGGCGGTCTTGGAGTCCAATTACGAAACCTGCAGCACCTTTAAGGGCAGAACAAAAGCAGCACTTGCTGATTGATGGGGCCTGTAAAGTCGGCGTTGCAGATTAAATTCAGCATATTTCGTGCACTCAGCTCGAATTCACTCCCAAATCTGCTCAAACGACAGCTGGGAGTGCTTTCCATGAGGATCGAGCGTGAATGGCACCACAGAGCGCTCCAAACATCTTCCAGAACCAAAGTTGGCAAGGAAATCTAGTAGCGATGGCCCCAAACCTATTCTTGTTCCTAGGCCTCCAACCTAGTAGCGATGGCCTCCAACCTAGCAGCTTCTTGTTACTAGTACGAGTAGCGATGGCCTCCAACCTAGTAGCTTCTTGTTACTAGTAGCGATGGCCTCCAACCTAGTAGAGATGGCCTCCAACCTAGGAGCTTCTTCTTACTAGTACGAGTAGCGAT